AATGTTGGCGAGACAGTTAATGTCCAGCATGGAGAACTTAGTGGAGGCAGTTTTGATTCTATTGGTAATGGAGAAGCACCTAGCAGGCATGACGAGGGAAGCGAGGTTGAGGTAAGTTCTTTTTGGAAATCCTGAAATTTCGTTTTCACTACCGACCCAATGTAATAGGTTACTCAAGGGAGAGGTCTGCCATATAGCTTATAACGAGGTTTTCCATAGAGCTACTTGCCAGCCATTCAGTACCTGCGTCAGGACAAATGTGAAGTTGATTGTATCATTCAAGTAAATGGAAGTGAACTGTAGCAGCGTAGCGTGCCTCATCAGGGATTGTCAGTCCGGAGTCAGCCGGTTTTCAGGGGTCCTTGGTGTAGTTTCATATTTTCACGTTATCGAGCGAGGGATGCGTGCATCGAAATACGGAGACACAAGTATAGGTGCGTCCCCACTTCATAAAGACCCCAAGATCAACCGATCGTTTGACGCTCAAAAGCGCAACGGATTGGCCCATGGGCATAGGTTAAATACATTGAGCCGCGACTCTGGCCACCTGCACTAATGGGAAAAAAAAAGAAAATACCCTCGTCTAAGAGACCATGAGTAACTCAGGTCCGGAGAGGAGATCTGAACTTACTTTTCTGCATGCTAGAAGTTTGATGTTTGAGAAATAGATCAATGGAGGTTAGAAATAGCTTTTGTTTTATAATAACGAAATCAGATTAAGAGATGATAGTGCATTAGTTCTTTGAATGTCAGGGAGATCGATGAGGAGTTATGTTTCCATGAGAAATGAAAAGGGTTAGTATTGCAGAAGATAGAACATGAAATTGGAAAAGGTCACCGAGGAGTAAGTGCTGAATTCGTCCTATAACTATTCCTTGATGTGTCTAAGAACTCCGAAAAGCGTGCTTCATGGGTAGTAGTTACTATGATTTGAAATCAAAATAGTGAAGCATATACATCAAATAGCTTTGAGTGGTGGAAGAAATAGAGAACAATGCGT